CGTAAATCCGACAAATAATCTGACTAATCATGAAATCCAATTCTAGCCTGGTTAATTTCCATTGTTAGCAATATCAGTTGATAACACATTACGTGCGGTGCTTTACATATAAAACTCCGTAGCAACATGTCCACAGATAAATTGGACGGTATAGTGTGCGCGATCGATTTAATATGCCACAAATGAGAAATAGTGCTTAAACAGTATAAAACTACAACTTTCCCTTCTGTTGATAAAAGGCGTAGCCATCTTGTATTCTGAACTCGGGAGTCGGGATCCTCTGTGCTGTCCGAGATATTTCTCGGATCTCCGAAACTCAAGATGGCATGTCGTCACTTCCGGCTTCAAAACTTAGAATCCGACTCGGAATACGAGTTCCCAGGGCAAATGGAACGTACCAAAACTGCCCAAAATGGGTTGACAGAGACATTTCAGGGATTTTGAGTCATTCTGCGCTGCAGATGGGTTAATTGCATTAAAAATTTTAATCTGATTAATCAAGCTGATGGATTAATCCGCGTTAACCCGTTAATTTTGACAGCCCTAATTTAAACACAAAATGAACCGGATAAAACAAGAGCATACTGTATATAATGGCGTTAAATTAGTGCCAAAACTCATGTGCATAAAAACCATGCACGCGTATGCGCTCGCGAGCGGAAAACCCATGCTCTCCACACGCTCGCGTTTGCACAGCACTTGCTTGCTCGGCGTTAAACATAGTTTATATACACTGTCGCATTCAGCCTCTCAGCATGCATCAATACCGCCGCCATATTGGGACAGGGTTCCAAGCCCATTCAACCACGCTTCTTTGACGGTCAGTACCAGCGAAGATGCCGGACTTTTGCTGAACAGCGTTGTGAAAGCAGATATAGGTTCTCAGGATATATTTAATATTTGTGATCACATTGCTGAAACTCAAGATGGCATCGACAACCATCACTTCAATTTAATTTCACTTATTTTGTCTTGCTTTCACAAGTTGAGAGAACACCATGTGGCAAAAGTACATTACTCTCCAACTAATAGGGATGGGTCAATCCACATTTTTTCAGTTCCGATCCGATTCAAATACAAGAGCTCTTTTTACTTTGTTATACTTTATATACTAATTTTTCTAAGCTAGTATATACAGATGGAAAAAATGACAAAAATATAGCTACTACAAACACACATAACATACTGTTCCACCTCGTTTGTACGTCTTGTTTTAAGCGTTTTTGAGGCATTTGCAGTTCAGTATGAATATCTTCAAAACAAGTATACACAAATGCCGAATGCTTAAAATTTTAACACAATTCCATTGGCGTCAGCTCAGTTAGACGTTGTTGCGATGGAAGCCCCTTTTGTATCACAAGCTGCAGCGAATTCGCAAGACAGTCCAGGTTAGCGACTCCCAAATCATCCATTGTTTTTTTTTTGTTTGTTTGCTTTGTTAAGTGGGATTGTCCATTAAACGCTATTCCCACCCTTCAAAACGTTATTTTACAAAAATTGCAAATCGCTGTGCTACTGCTTTCTATCTTATCTTACGCTCCTCGTACCTCATACTGCCAAGGGTATGCGCATGACGTCACAGCAGGCGGAAGTCACTGTACTCACACTCACTGAGTAGCAAAAAAGACTGAGGGGCAGTGTTGGCGTTCTATTTGAATGCCACAAAAAAAATGGGAAAGAGCTGTCGTGCGATTGATTGTACAAGTAGATTTAACACGAAATAGGAAATCTTTTTAGAGATTGCCAAAAACTAAGTATAAGTACTGTATATAGGACGCGTGGATCGATCACGCATGGCCGACCCGATCCGTCAAATAGGTCTGGATCGGCACCGATATCTCTACCAACTACAGAGCAGCAGTTTGAGGAAGAAACTGTGTAAACTGTAAAGTAGTATTGTTACAAGGATACTACATACTAGACACAGAGCCTCTAGCTGTCTTCCCACCCCCACCCTACAGGAAAGACACAGCTTCTGTACTGACACCTGTATATATTGCAGTTCATTGGCTATAGTTCTTGACAAATCTATACAAGATGCCTACATGTGTGTATGGACCTGCCCTGTCTATAGTTCTTTTTCCAAATAAGTCTTTTAGTTAACGTTGCTGGCCATTTTTGTGGTGTTTGTATTTGCATTGTTCTGCATGTAGGAGTGTAGTTTTTTATTTAGAATGGAATAAATACCTATATATTCGCATTAAATTTTGAACATAAAAGTATAGGCTATGTTAACAAAAACCGCTTCGCTATCATTTTACTCGCGGCTCGGTCGTAAATACATGTCTGACATTTGTAAGGAACCAAGACAATAAAAATCGCTTCTCAAATTTGCNTCTGACATTTGTAAGGAACCAAGACAATAAAAATCGCTTCTCAAATTTGCGTTTATAGTTCTTTGATTCTGTATGCCACCTTGGCCCTGATAGACGTTCATTCATTTAAAAGGAGCTCTACCCCGTCCCAAGATGGCGGCTCTGTTGACGCATTCGCTCCCATAGACGGCTGTATTCAACGCGACATCTAGTCTTTATATCTACAGTATGGGCGTTAAATTAGTACCAAAAGTCGAACCACGCGCGTGTGCGCTCGCGAGCTGAAAACCCATCCTTTCAACGCACTCGCGTTCGCTGGACCCTATCTACGCGCTCGCGTCTGCACAGCACTGGCTCGCTGGACAGGATGAATTTTGACCCTTTGGAGGCGGGAACAGTGGCTAATATCTCCGCTCCTTTGATTGTTATTTTAAAATATTGACTACGATTGGCTATTTGCTTTGGTAGAAGATGAAGATAACTTTTCACTGACCGCGGGATATTAAAGTATATTAAAGCTGTTAAGGGATGTTAGGATGTTAAGGTTCTATATGAATGCATTATGAAGGTGCACTTAATGTAAAGCGTTACCATATATATTTATATTTTAAATGTTACTGTGATTTAATTAACAGTATAAATATTATATGTAGAAATATTTAATTTGCCTAAACTATTTTCATTCAGTGTTACTTGGATTTTGCACTAAAGCTGTTTTGTGTGCGTGATAATTTGCTAACAATTGCACATTTTATTGTGAAGGGCACTATTAAGCTAAATAAAAGCTTAAAATAAAATGCCCATCACTTCATTATAAATAAAACTACAAAATCCACAATTCAGTACTAAGCTTGTTTATTCTGTTTAAAAACACTTAGCCCTAATGTTTTTTCTCCTAGGCTTCTCAGTCCCATGAACAACTTTTTACAGCAACTTTTTCTTCAAGCAGCACTAAACAAAGCACAAACAGGACAGAAGACAGTGATGCTGTTGTCAGAACTCATTGATTTTCATACCATTTTTGAGGCAAACGTTTACAATGGAACATCCTCACAGAGAAAGACTGAATTTCGGCTGGATCTGTTTTCCCATATTAAAGACTTTGAAACAAAAAAAAACAAAAGTCTTCAGTCAATATTACATCCAGTTTATCAATCAACTCCTGCAGTCTGGGATATAGACCTCTCTAAGAGGAAGGCGTCCATCCTCCATGAAGTGCTGAAATTCCAGATAGAGAAAAAAACTGTAAATATTTTAAGCTGGTCAGATGAAGAGAATGAGCTAAAGAGTTTTCTCCTGTGTCTGCCCTATATTTCACATCTAAGGTAAGTTTTTTTTTTCCAAATTGGTCCAGATTAAGTTCTTACCTAACCTCATTTGACCAAGTACTATGTTACCAGTATGAATAACAGTGTCTGCCAGCTAATTTTATTTCCTGGACACTGGGAACTAAACATTATATCCATATAACATTTTTGAGAAGCAGTAATAAGATCCACCAAAGTGATCAAGGAACTGAACACGGGTTCTACACCATGCCATTAATAAGTCAATGCTGAATGTCTCCAAACAGGAATCAAACAGAAGGCAACATCTTCATATGCACTGTTAAATGAGATAAAAGATTAAAATAAAGTGTCCTTCTTCACATTAAATAAACCCGAAAAAGTCATGGGCCTACTAAAAATTTAATTTCAATGGGATAATGAATGTGATCAGTATATTTTGACAGTAAAGAGATCAGCTCTGTACTGTATGTTTGTGGAGATTGTATAGTGTTTGTCATGGAAATTATATTACAAACTTTACAAATTGTAGCCTGAAGTTTAAGAACGAGATGACAATTTTGTCTTCTGTCACAATCATTTTAATGTTCTGAACACTTCTTACATTGACATACAGAGTTCAGAGGTATAAATAACAATAAAAGTGGATCTCGGCCTAATATATGTTTTATCTTACATTTGGATTTATTTAAAGCCAGCCATTCTTGACCCATTTTCATCACCTTGACATGTGAGATGAGTAGGTAGAATAGACAGCATTTATTGAGTTTTTACTATGTATGCTAAACAAAGAAGTGATATAATTTGCCTAAAACATTCTCCTTGCTGTGTTACAGATTGTCTGATAGGCATTTTTACACAGAAGAAGCCATCAGATTCATTGCCAATCTCTTCATTCAAGCAGCAGAGTGTGACAGAGAGACAGGAGAGAGGAAACTGCAGCTCCTCTCATCAGTCTGCAGTTATTCTTCTTTCCCTTTTGCTGGTGACACAAACACTGATGGTGATTTAAAAAAACAGAGTGACTTTCTGCTGGATCTGTACTCATTTTTGAAAGACTGTGAGAATCCATCACGTAGGAATGTTCTGCTGGCATTGCAGCCAGTTTTTCAATCGGTTCCTGCAGTTTGGGTTATAAACCTCTCTAACAGGAAGGCGTCCATCCTCTTTAAAGTGCTGAAACTACAGACAATGAAGAAACCAGTAAAGCTTGTTAGCTGGTCAGATGAAGAGAATGAGCTAAAGAGTTTTCTCCAGTGTCTGCCCTATATTTCCCAGCTGAGGTAAGTTTCTACTTATATAATGGGGGCAGTTTTAATAACTGTTTGCACTTTGAACTCATTTGTGAGTGAGTGAGTTTTTCCCTGCTATGGACTGGCATCCCATCCAGGCTGCTCCCCTGCCTTGTAGCCTTTGCTGCCTATGATTAGCTCTACCCCCTCTCCATCCACTCAATTCTATACTACATAAGTGGGAGGAATATTGCAATGCTTTTTACAGAGGTTTGTACAGATTCCAAGCTTAGTACTAAAATAACTAGCTGTTGTCAGCACGTCAACAATGTATTTCCCAGACCAGCCCATCACCCCTCCCTGCATCTAATTCCTACTCCCACGTCCTCCATCTCCAGCCCCCCTACACAAGTTTGGATAGTATCTAATTTTTTGTAACATAATTTTGTGCATACGTTATACCACGGTATATGGTGTTTAGATGGCATTTCCAAAAGCAATGTTATCTTAGTATTTGGTGCAGGTGGTGAAGGTCCTCTATGATAGATTTCACCAAGGCGAGGGGGGGTAAAATTCATCAAAATAAAATTCCCCAGTACCCTAAATATATTACTGTAATACCAGCCAAGCCTAGCCTATATTCTTTCACCATCTCTCCAAAATAGCTCCTGATTAAAAGCCCAACTTTGTGTGATTTGTCACAATGTAATCAAGTTCACAAGATCTGCAGAGTGAGTGTACATTATTAATCCCTTAGAGCAGGGGTGTCAAACTTATTTTAGGGTGAGGGCCGGATGAGAAGAAAATGTGACCATGTGCGGGCCGAATTTATTATTATTATTTTTTTTAATCATAGTGCATCAAATTACAACAAATACACTATATTCTGTAAAACTGCATTTAACAAGTCCTCAGAAACTGTTCATTAACACTCTTATTCCTT